ACACACACACACACACACACACACACACACACACACACACACACACAGCTGGGACATTAGTCCGCCATCTGTAAGAAACTAAACCTGATCAGAGACAAGCAACCTAGTTACAGCTCTCTGAACATCACATTCATTTGTGTGAGAGTGACAGATAGGGAAGTGTTTGTGGAGGAGGGAGAGGAAGAGGAGGGAGAGGAAGAAGAGGAGGAGGGAGAGGAAGAAGAGGAGGAGGAGTGATTGCTTGTTAGCATGGCGACAACAGAAAGGAAACATCTGAGGATGTGAGAGAAACCAGTAAATCAGAAGCTGAATTAAAGGAGCACAGATCCTCTGACCGTCAGCTGATGTAAACGAGTAATCAGTGTGAGAACAGGAGGAACCAACTGTTCCTCAGGGTTCTAATGAAGATCTAATCAGGCTGAAGACACACCTGCAGACACTTTGCCACACACCTGATTAAAGGCCTCAAATGCAAAATATCAGGAGTCTCTAAAATCATAAGACAATTATTTGTCACTTTAAAATGAATCCAAGATTGCGACGGCTTCAAACCATGAGTCCACAAACAGTCTGTGGGCTCCTGCTTACCTCCGTTGGGTCCTGGGTCGGGGGCGCCCAGGCTGATGCCCCCCCAGGAGTTCCCCGTCCATCCTCTCTCCCTCTTCACCTTCATCTTCCTCTTCCTCTCCCACTCGTCCCTCTGACGCACTGCAGGAGGAGACACATGCAGCAGATCTTCTAACTGGAAGCTTCTCTCTCACGCCGGTGTTTCTTCAAAGTTAAAAAGGTTCCTGTGGAGCTTTCTGACGTCTTGTTTTTCTACGAGTCACTCTCACGTTTGTTTGTGTCATCGTCTGAAGATGAACGAGCACATATTCCTGGTTTTAAGACTCTTCTACTGATCAACAGATGAGATGTGCAGAAGAAGACTAGCACAGTAGTTATGGATGTTAATGACGCTGAATTCAAAACGCTTCTTAAAAGATCAGCTTTGAAAATGTTTTATGAGGAAGAAAAGCACGTTTTTGAGTTTTGGCGAGTAACACTGAATAAAGCTTCTCTTTCGTTTTCAAGAAACAACTTCCTGAAGCCCAAAACCTGCCGGCAGGATTGTAAAGCTTGTTTTTTTATTTTAAACAATCGACAAAAATACGCCGTTCATCATCGGAAGATGTTTTTTAAAACAACAACCTTGTAGTTCCGACTTGAGCACACCCGCTTCTGTATGAAAAATAAACCAAATATAATCTTAGAATTGTGATATTTCATCGAAAACACTTTATTCTACACGTCTCATTTAAAATATCATCTGAGACCAACAGTCATGTGACAATAATTCTGTGAATATTCGGCTTTTAACACAGAGCAGAGCTCCTACCTAACTCAGCGATCAGCTCGTACCGAGCTCAGCGATTAGCTCGTACCCAGTTCAGCGATCAGCTCGTACCCAGCTCAGCGATCAGCTCGTACCCAGCTCAGCGATTAGCTCGTACCCAACTCAGCGATTAGCTCGTACCCAGCTCAGCAATCAGCTCGTACCCAGCTCAGCGATCAGCTCGTACCCAGCTCAGCGATCAGCTCGTACCTAGTTCAGACTGCATCTCCTGCTGCTCACTCTCCCCTCGTCGGCTCATGCTCTGCAGAGTCCCTTCCTTCATAACCGGAGCGTTCAGACCGGGCCACAGAAACCCACCACGACCTGAAGACACGGAGACACGGAGAGAGGAATCAGAAACACGAAGACACACAAGAGAAGAACACATACAGAACTACTCCCAAGTCTTTATTTCTTATCCTTGAACATGGAGAAGTGAGAGAGTAGAAGTAAGTACATAATAAATACATAATAAGTACACAATCTACCACAGATGTACTTGAGTTTAGAAGTTTTGGCAAGTTTCAGAACATTTGAAGAGTTTAAAACTTGCCTAAACAAATTGTTACCTCACAAATATTCGAGTGTGTTGTGTTTATCAGCTCTGAAGAACACGATAAATCAGCAAAGAAGAAGATCTTTAGCACTTCTGAACAAATAAAACACTAACAACATTTGTGCATTAGAGATTTAAATAAAGTATATTTAGTGAGTTTATTAACTCTTAACTGCTCCTGTGAATGTCAAGACAAAACCTCTGCAGAGACAGACAACCAAACCTCTGCACAGACAGACAGACGGACGGACGACGTCTCACCCTCTCCGATGGTCTGTCCTCGGTTCAGGTCTCTCTTCAGTTTGCGTTTGGTTCTCTTCCCTCGACCCTTCCTGGCTCCAGAACCCGACTCCGCCAACACACCTTTCCACAACTCCTCAGCCGTCACTGTAATGACACACACACACACACACACACACACACACACACATATAAACAAACACACACATGCACCACAAGCAAAATCCAAGTAATGACAACTCAAATCAAATCAAGAGAATGCATGAACTACAAAGTGTTGAAGGACAGTGGGTCACTGATGAGTGGTAGTAACTCACACTTGTTGAAGAAGCTGCCGTGTCTGGTCTGCTGCCACGCCGTAGCAGGAAACAGTGCAGCTGCTGGGTTTCTCTGCAGAGAGGCAGCCGAAGCTCGACTCACCAGCTGGGACACCTGAACGCCTCCTGAAGGAGGACACACGTCCACCGAGAGGACAGACGGGATGAATCACGGTGTGATGGTTTAACATGCAGACACAGAAACATCAGGCTTAGGGTTAAACTGTCACCCACCATGCTGATATCTACTTTTTATTAAAATAAATGTGTAAGCTAAGCACCTCCAGGGTTCTGTCCTGGTTCCCACAATGTTCTACCCATTTACAGACACTAGAAGAAGAAGACAGTGAGGATAGTAAAGCCTGATAACAGAGATTCTAGCTATAATACAGTGATTCTTTCGAGTTGTAAATACGCTGAATTATAAGCACGAACTCATTCATTGCATTACAAATAACACTTATTTTCTCAGAGGTGTCTACATTGAATAATACGCATGGCGGCGATAAATTGACACAATTTTGAATGATGTTTTGGGGAGGAAACGCAAACTTCATTTTAAAGGCTTTGGAATTATTTATATTCACCGCAAACAAGACTGCAGTAAAACCATCAGTACTTATATTCACATACTTTAGACATCGTGACATTAATAGTGAAACTATTGACGTTATGGAAGCCCTGCAGTAACGACAGGCTGGTCCAGGATCAGTTAACAGAACTGATTTAACTAAACAAACAAACAGCAAACAAACAAACAGTAAACTAACAACCCGATGAACACACGGAGCTGTTTATCGGAGCTGTGGGGGACAAACAGAGAGAGATAATTCACCTCCGAGTGTGACGCGGAGGGCACAGCACAGCCGTATGGACGCCGCCATGTTGGATTTATGAAGGGTCCTTCAGAGGACAACAAGGCGTCTAAACTATGCCTGTCGAAAGAAAACAGGAAAATACACACGATCTGTTTTTATTATTTTTATTGTTTAATATTCAGATTTTTTGGTGGCAGATGGGGATAATAAGAACATTAATAATAGTATTATCTCATGCACTGAATATAGGAGTAGTTTAAAAAACATGACATATTTTTGCCAAAATAATTCAATTATTTGTTTTCTTGTGACAAAATATAAATATTATATAGAGTATATATAGAGTCAGAATACATTCTCAGTTAAAGCATCCTAAAATATCAAAGTGAATCTACAACAAAATAAAAATTTGCTTTGTCTCGTTATTATCACACAGAAGAAAAATAAAAATCTTTGATAATAAATAATAATGTAGTTTGTTCCTAAAAACATAAAACTACAGCACAAAAGCCAGACGTTCTTTAAGTAATTCATTCTTAACATAAAAAACCTGTTATACAAAATAAAAAATATAAACAAGAAGAGAAATAATATAAATAAATAGTTTACTTCACTTTGTAAAATTGATTTAATAAAACAAAATCTGTGATGAACTTTATTGTGAATCTTCTGATCTGTTGGATAAAATAAAATAGATTAAAACAGCATAAAAACAGAGTAAATATCTCTCTCTCTCCTCCTCACTCACACTCACACACACTCACTCACACACACACACACACACACACACACATATGTTCACCTCTATACGGCCCTTCTTCTGTTTCTTTGCATTGATTCTATTGGGTAGATTTTATTACGTTAACGTTGATATTTTAAGAAGCATGATGAGCTGCATTATTATATAAAAACACCGTCTGTGAATAATTTCAACATGAATGAAATGTTTGTGAGCTCTCAGATCCTCGAGGAAAACAATCAGAGGAAAAGAAAAACAAATTAAGAGACTTCTCTGTTGATTGGCAGTAAATACCCCCCCCACACACACACACACAGAGCTTTGGTTTCCCGTTTCTTCTGATGTGAATTATCACATCAAGAGGAGACGAAACAAGATGATTATACTGTGGAGAAGCTGCTGCAGGAGGGAGAGAGTAGCTTTGGGTTTTATAAAAGAAGAGAAGAAGAACTCGTTAATCATTCACACGGCTGGAGTCACATTGTGAATGTGATGACTGCAGTAAACATGAAGTATCGTCAGCACTGCATGTCTCTTCTTCAGTGGTGGAAATAACTATTTACTCAAATAAAGTATTTCCAATTGTTGCTACTATCTCCACTACAGAAGTATTTAAACATTGTAATAGTGAATTATCATACGATTAATGAGCGAATACACAGATTAAGATTCATTGTCTGCTGTTTTCTTTAGTTCTGTGCAGGATTGAGCAGAACGGGATGAACTCAGGGCGTCTGGGGACGTACTGCCCTCCCTTCTCTCCATGTATTTGTGTATTATTTAGTGATAACACTACACGTGTGAGTCTCTGAGCGTGTGCAGCGGGCCGCCCATCAGCACCTCCAGCCTGTGCACATGATTGCCACTCAGCAGACTGATTATCCACCGCATGCGTCTCAATTTTACCTTATTCACGATCATTTCCTCAATAATACAGCTTTTATTGTCCCCGATACAGCGGAGAGCTGCAATCAGAGAGCCGCTGAAGAGAAGATGGCCTCCAGCTGCGTGGCAGCGTGAGGTGAAAGCTGCTGCTCAGAGAATCCTTCTCCTGCACTCACT